GGGGAAATATGCACAAATATCTGAGAAAGCAGTAAACATGCCGTAATTTCCAAAAGAAATAAAATCCTTGCATGCAGTCCACAAGGAAGGAAAATGTGTTCGAATAGTCATGCTACTTTTTGTTTTGCATAAAAAGGGTTAGTGGATCAATTATCAATTAATATAATAAGCCAGATTGTCCCATTGTCCCCAGTCATAGCTAGGCAAACTAAGGCTACATATGAATTCCTCGGTAAGAAGAACTGCATCTATGATTCCATTAGTAATGGAATGGAGTTGCAAAACTCTATAAACCAGTTGGCATCAATCCCAAAAATATCGTGTAATTGATAGCATATGCAATAGTATCTAAAAGACAGAATGGCAGACATAAAAAGTGAACATTTTTATGGCTCTCCTACTGTTTCACACTTGTTTGTCAAGGTTATCTATATATTCAAGTCATTTTGTGCTGTCATTAAATATGTTTCACTGCTGTAGTGCCTATTGCCTGGCAAAAATAGCTCCAATAGATCTCCTTGTCTTTTACACCAAACTTTAATTTTATGATGCTACAAATGTAGTCACAAATGCTTCCATTTCATGAAATTCATTTTCTCTCTCTACAGTATTGAGCTCTTCACATTTTTAAATGAAAAAAAAACCCAGTGAAATATCTAATACGTAAAGCTAGAGATAACGTGTATATGGTATCTAACATTACATAATGTCCAAAATGGAGCAGGAGAATAAAAAAAATTCCAATGGCAGATTAACAATATTCTAATATTTTTGAATGCCCGATATAGCAACATACTAGTAAATGAAGGATTAACATCAAACTGAGAATATCTTAATTAAGCTGGTGAAAGGCTGCTGCAGAGTTCAGTTCTATCTAGCATCTAATAATAATTGCATATATCTGTTAAAGTTCATTATAATTAAATAACTGGAAGTAACCACAAAAGTTTAAAACCATACCCAATTAAAAGATCAAAATCGAAACGACAAGGTTGGAAATAATATAAAGTATTTCTTGACCCAAGTTGTTGAAATTCTAATAATCTAATTAGATTACTAGAAAGATTAGATTTCTGTAACAAAGGACTGATTTTGAAAAAGAAAAAGGAAATATTAATAGTTCAAAATATAGCTTTTCAGATTTGGATTAGAATCAAACCATGGAAACACCTTTAACCACAAGGACTAGTCCTGCCTTTAGACCACAGGTGGGCAGCTATGGCCCCTTTAAGACCTATGGAATTCAACTCCCAGAATTCCTGAGCCAGCATGAGTCAGGAATTCTGGGAATTGAACTCCATGGGTCATAAAGAAGCATAGTTGTCCACCTCTGCTTTAGACACAGTGAAGCAAATGTGGCCTAATTGGGGTCTATTGAAAAGGAACCAAACTGTAGCCAGGGGAAAGGTATTTGCTGGATTTTCCAGACCCCCAGTATTTCTGTTTCCCAACCGTTCAGATTCCGGTATAAAATGTTCCTGAGACTGATTTGTTTGGGCATGGATCTTATATCCTGTCTTTCTTTCCTTGTAATTCATCCGACATGTTCAATAGCCAATTAAATCAAACAGGAGTCCATTTGATCAGAAATTGACTAGAACCGTGATGGCGAACCTATGGCACGGGTACTACAGATGGTACGTGGAGCCATATCGGTAGGCACATGAGCTCAGTCCAGCACGCATGTGTGTGTGGGCCAGCTGATTTTTGGGCCAGGAAACACACTGTTTCTGGCCTCCGGAGGGCCTTGGGGGGGTGGGTGGGGAAGGCTGTTTTCATCCTCCCCAGCTCCTAGAAAGGCTGTGGAGCCTGGGGAGAGTGAAAAACAGGCCTATCGGGCCCACCGGGCCATCACGTGGCAAAAGTGGGGGGAGCACGGGGGGGGAGCACATAGAATTATGGATGTGGCCACGTGTGTGTGTGACCCCACCGTGCTCCTCCCACTTTTGGCACGAAATGGCAAAAAGGTTAGCCATCACTGGACTAGAATTAGCATCACATCAGCTGGAATTGTCTATTTGCTTCCAACAAGCTTCTTTTTCATGCTTTGTCAGTTTCCAAGAGAGCAACTACCTTGAAACAGGCATTCCCTGTCTACAGAACCATTGGATGTTCAGATGCCATTGCCATGGCAAACTGCAATATGGTTGAAAGCAGATAGACCATCTTGTGCTGGACCAAGGACGTAGTTTTAGCACTTTCATTCAGCAACCACCCTAGGAACTTTTGCTTAGGCGACTTGGAGTACCATTTAATGAGATTTTGCTACCAACAAACATGCCCATTTAGAAAATATGCCTGCTGGGATTATTCTCTTTCTTTTTTTTACTTGTCAGCCTTTGAAAGAATTTGGAGGAAAATCTTAAGCCCAGCAAAATAGGTTCTTCAGAAGCTCTTGAATGGTTAGTTTAAACTTTAAAAAAAAAAAAGACTTTGGCAGGAAGAACTTCTTTTCAAAAGACAGGTTTGATTTACTACTCTTTTCCCTTTCAACACCTTTCAGTTTCATTTCTCACTTTCTGATTGCTAAAGGAAAGAAAGCCTTCACGTGTATTAATACTGACGTGTATATATGTCTACGAATGTGTGTGTTGATCTCCAAATTATTGTTGCTTGCCTTCCAATGCTTGCATGCAAAACACATATTCTACAACAGAGATCAGGCCTTTCCCTTCCAAAAGCAGGCAGCCCCCCTCCTCCACAAAGTTTTTCTGATACATAACCTTAGGATCTGGGCAAGACTCCTGTCTTTATACCAAAACACCAAGCTACCTTCTACTAAGTATGTGGCAGAGAAATTTGTAATAGGATAGGTTAGAATGATCCAAGTGGGCTGTTGCCTCAAGTTAAGGGTGAAATACTACTTCCCCTTCTCCCCATTATTATTGCAAAGCCATCTGGAATAGCAACTGAATCTTATGTTTTATGTCTCTCTCCTAGGGGAAATACCTACTAGGGTTTTTGTGTGGGGTGGGGAGGGGGTGTTACTGCTAGCTCATGCAATTTGGGAATCTAACATGCTTCAGTATGTATCCTCATGTTGAATAATAGGGAGATTTTTTGACTGTAGACCATCATAGGGAGTTATAATCTATCAGGAAGGAACTTTTTTTTTACAAATATCTGCCTTCCTTCTTCTCTTTTTTTGAATCCCATAACAAGCAGAATGGAAACAATTATGGCTGTAATTTGCTGAGGTCGGAATGCAGGACGGAAGTTGGAAATGAATTGTCATTGCCAAAGTGACATATTTTGTTCTCAGCTCCCCCTCCTCCCTCTAACCTCAGAAACAAAATCTTGCATCAATATGGACTAAAATGGGGGAAAGCCACAACTTGAAGAAAAGGAAAAAAGAATCACATCTTGAACTTTGTTCACATAACATCGACAAAAAAAGTCATTGAATCCCGTTTCATATGGTAGCGAGCAGAATATTTTGCAGATAACTTATAGCAGGCTGTTAAAAGTTGGAAATCATCCTTCAACAAATCTTAAATTGAGAAAACGTTCCACATAAGGGATCTTTCAAATAGCATAAAGCATACAAAGATGGTGATTTCCTTGAAGATTTTGTATGTGTATTTCCTCCCTTCCTGCTCATTTTTCTTTTATGGACTCTAGTTAAAATGGATAAACTCCTTGGAGAAATTCATTTTTATTTTATTTTGCCTTTTTCATGTCAATTACAGAACACTTTGTTAAAATGATTACATAATTTTTGCAGAAGCTTGGTACTGCAAGCTGGAGGAGATAAACCCACTTAAATGTGACTAATCTACTCACAAATGCCTGCCCAGAGCACAGTCTCTCAGTTAAACATCATTCACACATTATTTTCCAGGACTATTTCACAACAACAATAACAAAGGAGGATTTCATTTCTTTTTTGGCAGGGGGTGGGGCGGGGGAGGTTAAAGATCAGGGATCATTTGGTCTTAAACATGCATTATACTGAGACCTTGTTTGTGTCTTGTGATAAGGTTACATTGAATAGTGCTGGAACCCTTCAAGGTTACTGTTCCAGAAAATATTTGCAAATAATTTGACATGCTGTCAGCTAACAGCAGTGAACTCATATAATTCAACATACTAATGTGGCTTTTCATGCCTTTAGCAATAAATAAACTTGATAGTCAAAAGTTTCTGTAATGTTTTTTTTAATAGCGATCCCTTTAAAATAAATCTTGATTATTCCTTTTCACTTGGGTTAGGATCTCTTTCTGATGGAACTGTTGTTTCTGACATCACTCCTGAACTATGCTGTCCCAACTGTTCAGAATTATGATGGACCTCCCCAGGACTCCTTACAACCCAGATTCAAAGTCTGATGGCTGCCCCCCAGTCATGGGATTGCATTTTGAGTGAATGGCAACCAAGCCCACATTTACAATTGCAGCATTCTGCAGTCATGGTACCAAAATTTACAATGTTTTCTGCAGAAAGCCAGTGTTTATTTCTTGTTTCTGGTAAAAAACAGCCATTATAGACAATAAATTCACTTAAGGACTGCAGACTTTGCTTGACAACTGAGGCATTCATTTTACGACTGCTTTGTTCATTTTACGACTGCTTTGTTCATTTAACGACTGTTGCAAAAAATCATAAATCAGGCACAAATCATGCCGCTTAATGACTAGTATGATTTACAGCCACAGTTCTGGACTCAACTGTGGTCGTAAGTTGAGGACTATCTGTATTCTTATTTGCATGGAGAAGTGCCAAGGGAAGCTAGCAAACTGTGTGAAGCAACTAGCCTGATGCAGGATCACTCCCTCTTGTCTGGCCGCAGAGCTCTGTGCCTCAATTGCCATTTCTATTTCTCCTAAGGCACAGGTGTCAAACTTGCCACGCGTCACGTGATGTTTCCCCCTTTTGTGGAGCTGGGGTGGGTGTGGCCTGCGTGTGATGAATCTGGCCTGCCGCCAGTTTGACACTCCTTTGACCTAAGGGAACTCCCCAGCGACCAGTTTTCTTTGCTTAACTCAAGTTGGAATAGTCACCTTGTGGAACACACTGCTGACTGACCAGTCGTCAGTCCCTTCTTTATAGGTTTTTCACCTCTCCAACGAGGAAGGAAACTTGGAAAAGTGGAAAACTCGGCAACAGGGATGTTTTGTCCTCCATGCTATCATCTTCCTTGGTAAACAACATTATGAAAGTGCTTCTGAAAGAGAGTAAGAAATAATAAGCCAAAATAACTAAAGAAATAAAAGGCATGACTTAGGAAAAATAAAGGAAATAAAATTAAATTTAGTTCTACCAAGATCACCCAGTATATCTCTCCATTCTTTTCAATTCCTGAAAACTATCCTTGCTTTCATCGTGTCTACATAGTTGATCATAATGCTGTGTATTTGAGCTTTTCCCCTTTTTCTTAATGAACATATTTTTAATTCCATTAGATCCAATGTTCTCTCAACCCATTCATTCTCCCACCATATATTTATGTTGCATTTGAGTCTAAATAACTCCCAAGAAATTATTAGCCCTGCACAGGCAATTTTAAAGTCCAGTTCTACCCCTGTTCAGCCGAACTATAATGGAGACTCTGAACCTTGGTTTGCCAAATATTGTGTGTCAGTGAGGACTAAGGTAGTTTCTGCCTCCACAGCTGCTGATTTAAAAAAGGAATAGAAATCTCTCCTGAGGAGAGAGAGCAGGAAACAAAAAAAAAGCAGATGTATCATAAACTGAAAGACTCTGACTCTCATACTTTTCAATTTTTATATTCAGGACATCATATTCTCTTTCTGCCACACCTTCATTCTCTAGTTCTTACCTATTGGCCCATTTTTATTTTAATTTAGGCAGATAATGCCACCATTCTATCCATACTTTCACATACGCTTTCAAGCAATAGCATCCTTCTGTTCTAGAGAAGATTTAAAAATTAATTATGCTAAAACAAAGTTTGCAGTCTTCACTAAAATGTTTTACGCTTACCTATAATTAGCAAATCAAGGATAAACCCATTGAGCAAGTCAAGGACTATAATATTAGGTATTCATTTTCAACCACCTACCTCCTGGAGTCACCAATAAGTGAGCTCTTGTCAAGATCACAAAAAGCCTCTAACAAGATTTTCAAATTTGCAAGCCACAAAGGTAATAACTATGTGCCTGCAGCAATCAATTGTTCAATGCAAATGTCTTAGGTCTGCTGCTTTGTAGCTTGTATTTTGTTCGTACATGAACATTTCTACCCTAGAAACAATTCTGTCCAATTTTATGAAGGCCATTCTCCATGTCCCTTGATTAATCTTGAATTTATCTCTCAATCGGAACTTAGCTACATTTCTCTTGTAGACCTTGTTGACTTAAATGCTGGCCAAAAAACAAAACCCATCGTGGGGTGAATTGTTGGTTTAACTTAAATTGTTGCATAAGTAGCCCTCCCTAGAAAATCAAATAGATTTGGATTTGTTTTATTGTGGGCTTTTACCCCCAGCTATATACATTATTAGCCCAGATAAAGCTTCACAGAGGTAAGTGAAAAGTCTTGGATGTTGATGTTCAAAAAGATAGATAAAAAGTTAGACTTCCAGGGAAGAAATGATGAACTGAAATTGGTTCTGCCTTTAGCTTTTAGACAAGGGTAACAGAATGTAGAGCCAGTGTAATTCCATTCAGGACAAGGAGAGGAATTTGGATTGCCCACAAGTACTCCATATAGTTGATCCTCTTGAAAAGACTACAAGACAATGGTCTCTAAATCACAGATTTAAAGCACTGGAGACTAGAGAATAGCTATGGTTGGCGCCTTCTAAAAGTCTCTCAATTCATATACAATCTTTCCTAATTGCTTTCAGAAATTGCTTGTTAACTGCTTTTCAGCTATTACACTCTTTGGATCAACAAATTTTACAATGCTGGGTAACTTTAGTGAAAGAAGTTTTAAATACAAGTTTTTAAGTTTAAATTATTATTTTTTTAATTTGGAATAAACAGCAAAAGAGTGATTAGAACTTTAATTTTGGAAAGTTACAAATAGACTTGAAATAAAATTTTGGAATTGTAAGAATCCTTTCTATGGGAAAATGCTTTTGTTTTGAATTTTCTTAAAAAATATGATAGTATATGGCTTTGTCCTTTGACTAAGGACAAAGGGAACCAAAAGGAATTAAAGATTATAGTTCAAGAAGAATACTTTACATTGATTTACTAATACAAAGTGAAAGAAAATATTTCAACATTGGATATATTGAAAGATACTTTTTTAAAAAAATTAAGAATGCCTCTATGGATAGACTATGTTTTAAAGATATTATGAAACAGGAACACATTTTAGCTGACAAGATTGACACTGATCAGAAATTGGATTTAAAAATGTCAGACTACAATAATACTATGGAAAATGATGCTACACTGAACACACAAAACAAACAACTTATATCTTAATAATTAAATGATATACAAATAAAAAGCCAAGAGAGTGACTTGGGTAATTTTCCTATATTGGATTTACAAATGAAGCTTGTTAAAGCTTTGAAGAATTTTATGGGAAAAGACAAAAAAACATTTTAGGATGTTATTTGAATGAACTAAAATCAAGATTGTTAAAAGTAAAAGGAATATAAAACTGGTTTATTTGATCGAAGTTAAAATAAATATGTTGTTATCTTTGGCAACCCTTAATGGACTTTTGTTGATAAGGACTGAAACAACGAGGCTATAAGGATTTGTTTAGATAAGAGATGGGATATGTTTTAAAGAGAAGGTGATAAGTTACTAAAATCATTTATATATTTTCTTTTTCTTTAGTGTATTCTTATTTTTTCTTTCTCTTTAATTTTCTTAATATTTTTCTTTTCCACACTTATTTTTAGCTTGTTTTAGTTTTTACCTTTGTTATTGTAATTTTTAATAAAATTACTAGGAAAAAAGATAAAAAGTTCGGATCTTGTTATCACTTGCTTGTGGGTGCTCCTTTTCTCATACTTAAATATTTTATTGTTATCCCTAATAACCCACATAGAAGGGCATTCACACTGGTGCAATTTGATGTCCTGAACTCAGTTGTAACTACAAATACTGCAGATATGATAATATTTCTTAGCACAATCCACAATGTGTGTGCTGAGACAGCAAGGTACAATCTCAAATTAATGGAATCAATTAGTAAGCTTTCCTACTTATAACAATCAGCAACGGCAAATCATATGCCTCAAGATTAAGGCACTGAAGCATTTTAAAAAGTTGCAAAAAGTTAGTGATAGATAAAGACATTAGAGACTGGTGAATTTGTTCTACTACCAGCTAAGTCCAGGGTTTTTGCTTCCACCAATTAAAACCCTTCACAATATTCCTGCTCTCTGCTGAGTTTGACATAACTGTATTACAGAGGGTTTTTTTTTGCTCTGCACCAAACGCATCTGCTTAGATTATTATCGTTATTGTTGGTTCTTCTCTTTAATTACTGTAAAATTTCACTGACTTTTTTTTGTCTCTGGTTATAAATAAACTTTTACAGACTTTTTAATACTGATCTTTCACCATAGCATTCTAACCACATTTATTTAGCTTCCATTTATTCTGTATCTTTTCTCTTGTTCTTCCACTCAGACTTCTTAAATACTCCAACCTCAGTGTTCAATTTACTTTTATTATTTCTGTATGATATATTATTTGTTATGACATATTCAAGTCTCATTTACGTATACGCAGGCGAGTACGCTAACATATCAAGCTAATTTTTTTCAACAAACATTTATTCCTCAAAACAGGCCTCATACTGCCCACCACTTTTCTACCAGAATTTGCACATTTAAAATGTTTCCATATATTTCTCTCTTTTAATAAATATTTTATTTCTTCTTTAAGATCTCTTTTAAAGGATACATTCATGTAGGCAGATTATTACTACATCAAGATAAAGGAAAAATCTATTGCTCTGTCTTCTCATTTTTACAAGATATAGACATTATATTATATTATTTAATAAAGAACACATATCTCAAATCTACTCTTTGACATCAGGAGCATAAATTTCCTTCCATCTCAATAAATAATACACTTTGTCAAATCACATACTCTTGCTTCTGCTGACACAATTTTTTGCTATGCGCTTCATTAACCATTGCAGGCAGGGTTGGAGCACAAGTCCCTATCTTCTGATTGCTGAGAAACACCCTCAGACTCCATTTTGGTTTGGTCTGGTGATACATTGGAGATGTGCTCCTGTAATGCCTGCCTAGTACTTTCCTTTTTTAGTATAATTTCATTGAAGAAAATTTTAGCAAGATAAAAACAATGTGAATAATAGAGGAAAAAATCCAAAGAAAATATTGAATAAGAAAGAAAACAGGAACAGAAAAGAAAGAAAGAAAGAAAAAGAAAAAACAGAGAAAAGATTATAAAAAGTGATTTCCAATCTTTTTGACAGCAGTTATATATTCATTTATATTTTACCCTCATCTTTAAAGTTGCATCATAATTTCCCATCTAATATAGGTAGTCCTCGACTTACGACCACAATGGATCCCAAAATGTCTGTTGCTTTTTTTGTAAGTTTTTTATTTCTTTCCCTTTAAAACAAAAATTTCATCATTCATTAATCAGTATGTCATCTGAGTAGATTTTTTTTGTGTCATAATAGTTATACCTTACCATCAAATTCTTTATATACATCTATTCTTATTTTGACATTACAACTTTACATATCTCCTAATATAACATTTCTCTTCCTAAATTATTTAATTTTATACTTTTTATCCATATTCATTTTCTAACCAATGATAAAATAACACCCATATATTATAATAATCAGATTCTTCCTTTCCTTTGATTGCTAATGTTAATCTACTCATTTCTGCACAATCTAATATTTCCTTAATCACCTTTTCATCTTTAGGAATTTCTTCAATTTTCTAATTTTGTGCAAATACAATTCTGGTTACATTACAGGCTTCTGCTGATTCTGTTGACAAGAGGGTTTGCATGGCTGTATTTTATGGCTTTTATTGTTTTTACTGTCTTTGACAATTTATGCAAAAGGATTGCAACTCTCACCCTGACTGGGCAATGCTCCCCTGACTACTTTCATGCAGCTGCAATTTCTGCGGCTGCTTGTACAATGCAGCACAATAATTTATGTCCACATTGGTGATGCCATTTTGCTCATTCCTTTCTGGCTGTGGGGGCAGTAAGGGACAATATGATAGTGGCT